GGAGACTCCCCAGTTCTTCCTTTCCTGTGCAGCGTTTTGCTGCTTTACGATATGGGGGGATTGAACAGCGAAATATAAATTCCCAGAATGAATTGATGAAAGGAATGGGATTTAAAAGATGGGTCATGCTGTTAAGAAACTCCTGAAATCTTGGCACCGTGTCTGCGTGGAGTGAGAAGAATAAGGAACCATTGAAGGTTTGTGCTGGGAATCGATTCCCTCGCAATAAGATAACAGTGAAATCCCACTGAGATGTTATGATCCACACCCTGTGATCAGTTGGAAGCATTGAAGTAAATTCACGGGAACTGAGAGTCCACTGTAAACCCTCCATAGATTGGACATCCCCAGAAACAAGGAAGACTTTGGTTTTTTTCAGGGAGATCACATTTATTATCTTCATTAACTTTTCAACAAAGGAGCCTGCATATAATGTCAAATTACTCATTTCTGGGATCAACTGCAGAAAAGAAATGCAAATATCATTCTGCGAGAGCTTGGGTTGGAGGTTTTGAAGAAAGTTTTCCCCGCTCCCATCCTCTGATACCAAAAGGCCAATCCAGTTCCATCCAAAATGCTTCAGTAAATGGACAATCCCCTCATATTGCAAATTCTCATTGGGAACCATGCTGAAGAAGGAAGGGAAGCGAGTTTTGTCACTCAGGACTAGGTCAAAGAAGCTATATCCGAGCTATTTGGAAGAAAGAAGGATTGAAAATTTAGCTGAGAAGTGCATCATTTTGTCCAGAAGAACATAAAGATTTTCCATTCTCTTTTTGAGTATTGGATGCTACTTTGAGATTATGATTTTTTGACATTTAAACATTTTTTTGCTAAAGTACAATAACTAGAAGGTATGATAAAATACATCGAAAAATATAACATTGGTAATATAGTAAAAAAGAATATACAAAATAGTAATGACATGAGTGGCATTTGAATAAAGATGTATCCATAAAATATTAATATAGAACTAGCCCAATCCTTTAACATATTATTATTCAAACCACATAAGTAGACCATCTGTTGCTCCATCTTTTCAGTTTTGCTGTAGTATATATAATTTTAGTACACTGATATTTGTATAATAGATTCTTAATATCCTGTTCTTTACATGCCTTAGAATATTGCATATAGAGAAGTGGATATTCTATCAACAGTAGTTATAGTTTGAGAGATTAATGTTACAAGCATTATGATTATTTTAGTTTTTCTTCAAAAATAAACACTGGAAATGAATGAGAAAATAGAGAAATAGGACACATCAAGGTATTTGTTTTATGATAAGGGGTTCTTTCTTAAGCTAAATTACTTGATATTAAAGTTGCCGTCATGTTATTACTTGGTGTATACATACCTATACTCATAAATATGTTTTTATATCTATATAAATATGAGTATGGATACATGTGTTTTTATACAGGTTGATAAAGGAAAATAAGTGAATAAAACGAAGAAAGTTTAGCAAATTTGAAATACTAAAAAAGAAAAAAGAAAAACAAAAAAGGGAACCAAAAATTAAGAGGAGAAAAAGAAAAAAAAGAAGCTTTTGAGTTTCGGACATTCCTCCTTCTATGCATCTGCTAGTTTGAAATATTTACAAGGATTTAGACCTCCTTAAAAACCAATCTGTATGTATGGGAAACTTTCTTGCTTAAATTTACATAAACTTCTATTGTGTAGTTTACTTTTAGTTTTGCCTTTGCTGTGTATTCTCCAAGTCTGAGTTTCCACTCAGATATTGTCAGAATTGTCTTTCTTCCAATGTGGAGCATAATTTAATTTTGCTGCTGTAAGCATATATTTCATTAAATTTTGATATCTCATGATTTTTCTGAGATGCTTCCTAATAAAAAAGTTATAGTTTCATTTTGAATTTAAATTCCACAATTTTCTGCATTGTACTATGTATTTCTTTTCAGTATGTTTGCATTTTTTTAAAAGGGCAACAGAGATCAAATTAATGTTCTTCTAACATTTACAACATTTATTGCTATATGATTTATCAATCTTAGATATTGCAGATGAAGTAGTATACAACCTATAAAACATATCAGAGTAATTTTCCTTTAGATTGTAACTTGGTGCAAATCTTACAGATTTAGTCAATAATTCTTCCCGTTGTTGTGTTGTAACTATTCCTTTGAAATTTTGCATCCATTTTATGATATTTCTTGTTCTGTCTCTGTGTCATGTCTAAGTAATGTTTAAGTATATGGCCTAGTAGGTGATATTGATTTTGCATTAATGTTTCAAATTTTGTTTTTGTTTTTCTTAATGTCCCTCCTTCCTTCTTAAGATCTGATCTTATCCTTCTGGCTATTTATAAATCCGTGTCAGCCATACCAGGTAGGCCAGATAGGAAACATGACCAGATAAGCCAATTCTACTTTATTGTAAAGATACATTACCAGAATCTTACAAGTCTGAAAGTTCAATTCCCACATCATCTCCTTTACAGTCCGAGAAACTAGGGACAGTCCCTCCTGAGCCTATTGCCCCACCGAATATGCAGCTGCGGGCTGTGCTATGTTTTATCTAATGTTTCCTGAGTTTGCCCCTTCTCCCAAGGTCTTTCCCACATACCATTAAAATAAATCAACCATGGTCATTCCAGCCTTCACTAAATAAAGCTTGTAAAAACATAGTGGACCATATCTGCATATGTAATTACCTTCCTTTTAGTGTAGTTATCTCCAACATGAAAAGCATTGGAAGGAGAAGCTAAGGGGGAAATCGTTTGGCTAATTATTACCTTTGTACAATTCTATACTTTTATCAAGCTTTATGAATGTCTGAGAATTAATGCTCCCAGTCAGAACTTGGAAATGAGGACTTCAGTTGCCATCATTCCTGATCCCTGGAAGTGGGCAGTTTTAGAATTACATCTAATATGGCCCATTTCAGATTAGGTGGAGATCAAGTGAAAAATGTTCTTTGGGGGGCAAAATAATAAAGTTAGAGATATGGTCATGTAACTCCACATACAGTATGTCACCTTATATAACGAATGCCCACTCCAAAGAACCAGGATGCCCGGTGCGGTCTTTATTGTTTCTGTGCAAATAAAATACTCTTAACTTGCCCTCAACATCCATCTTGATCCAATATATTTTTCCTGAATATTTTTAAAAGGCCTGGTCCTCATTATTTCTGATCACAATTAATTTACCATTTCTCCAATATTTGATTTTCTCCTACTGTGTTCTTCCTAATTCCTTCCATGCAATGGGGTAGGCTTGAGATATTGACCTGGCACACAGTTTCTTGCCTTTGGCTATCCTACTAAGGATTATGGGGCTGGAAATCCAAAATATGTGCAAGTCATCTGATTGCATATCTTCTCTTTTATATAATTGTCAGGGCTTATTCTAAGGTTTGTTTGATTTTTGTTCGAAAAATAAAATATTAAAACCAAACGTGCATGATAAGAAAGGAGATGCAATTCAATTTGCTGAGTAATATACTTTAACCTTACAAAATTATGAAGGGGGTCAGGACGTGACTGATCATTTCTCAAAATCGACAAGATGATATCTGAAAAATCCTCCTACCTGTGGAATCTTATAGGCATTCAAGACATGGGCCATGTGGATGGAGTTGGAAGATGTGAGGCCACCAATAATAGCCAAGAGCTTCCTCTTGGTCCTTCTGACACAGTTATAGTTG